AGTTCCCGCTGAAAGCCAACACCAAGGACAGTCCCTGTCCCCCCCTCCGCAGCAGCTCTCCTCAAGACCAACATTCAGAGGTCCTAAACAATGATTTTGACTTGCTAGGGGAAAGAAAAATAAGCATTGAGCATCCACAGCTCTAGAAGGATGTAAAGATGCTCAGAGTTACCTAGAACCCAGCCCTGGTGTTTTAAACGTCCAATCACAGGATTATTTTTAAATACATTCACCCACAGGTTGTTGGTATGATTATACCAACCCTCCGGTACCCCTTATTACACAGTCTCTCTTCCCTCAGCTGTTTTCCAACACCCACAGACATCTCTTCTGTTCCTTTACACACAGACACCCTTCTCCCAAACTAGAGTCATTTAAAAACCAGAATGTTTTCAAAACAGTCTAAATTCATCAAACCACAGAAAAACATCGGAGGAGCACGCAACCTCCAGAAAAAGCTTTGCAGTTAATGGGACCATGGAGCGTAAGAACTCAACACAAAAAAGTCAAGCGACAGCAGACTCCAAACCCACTCTACGCAGTTTGCTAAATTAACAGCCAACAGGAAAAACACAGTCCACAAACACAAACACATCTTCAACTCCTCCAAACTTCAGGGCAGTGCAGGTTTAAGGTCAACAAAGCAACTGCAGCACCAACTGCTACGCCTGCAGTACAGCCAGTTACACGTTTGCATGCAGCAGAGAAGGTGGAACAGCGTTTGTTAACCCTGCACAATCATTTCCAGCATTTTCCGCGTGTCTTTTTATGTTACAATTTAAACCCAATCCGAGACGCTTCCCCTGTGTCCACATTTGAAGGCGAAGCAGGAAAGTGACCCCTGCTCTGCAACTTTTTGCTTATGCTGAAGTAGGCTAGAAGCAGAAGACATCGAGAGATCTGCATTTAACGTCTTCCACACCCTCTGGTTTCTACCCCTCAGCAGAGAAACACAAGCTTGCCTTATTCTCAGGTTCACATCAACTTAAAAAACTAAACAAACAAAAAAAAAATCACATCCCGCACCTAAGCGCACGTCTGGAGACACACGCTCGTCTGAGCCCTGCTGTGATCAAAAGACTTTGAAGGGAAGAGGAGCCCGACGCCCTTGACACAGACCCCCGCCTCGCACC